GAGACGCGCCGGGCATGTGCAGGAGGCACAGCCGGTGGAGGTCAGGACGGCGCCGGAGATCGACGTGACGGGGAGAGTCGTCCGGCGCGACTACCACTACGGCCACCACGGTTTCACCATCTCTCTCTTCTGGTCGCCCTTCCTGGTGAAGGCCAACCTGTCGAACGCGACGCTCGGCCAGTGGGACCTCCACCTCGACATGGCGGACGCCCGGTGGGCGGCGCGCATCGCCGACTTCGACTACGTCGTCATGTCAGGCACCAACTGGTTCCTGCGCCCATCGGTATACCGCGAGGGAGGGCGCGTCGTCGGGCGCAACGACGCCGCCCGCAGCGCCGCTGCCGCCGGAAACTCGACCGAGCTGCCCGTGCCCCGCGCCGTGCGCGCCGCGTTCCGCACGGCGCTGGGCGCCATCGCGGCCAGTGAGGGGTTCCGCGGCAAGGTCATCCTCCGCACGGTGACGCCCGCGCACTTCGAGAACGGGGAGTGGAACACCGGCGGTGACTGCGTCCGCACACGCCCGTTCCGCCGCGGCGAGCGCGAGCTCGGCGCCGTGGAGGCCGAGTACCGCGCAGCGCAGGTGGGGAACCGACGTCCATGCCCCTCGACGTGCCGTCGTTTGTTTGCAACGTGGAAGGCGACATCTGAGTGTCTGGCATGTGATGACTTGATGAATCCTTCTGTGCCTTAGGTTGGTGCGCTCAGGGAGACGGAGGCGGCGGTGCGGCGGAACGGTGCGGAAATGCTGCTGCTGGACATCACGGAGGCGATGGACCTGCGGCCAGACGGCCACCCGAGCCGGTACGGTCACCCGCCCTGTGGCAGCGTCGACGGGACCTTCGTGGTGGACTGCCTGCATTGGTGCTTGCCGGGGCCGATCGACCTGTGGAGCGAGCTGCTGCTCCAGATGCTGCTTTCTCAACAATAGCACTGTTCGTGCTAGCATTCAAGTTCAAGCTAAAAGAAATGCTGCTTGATTTCTTCTGTAAATTGACGAAGCCTTTTCTTTTCTTTTTTGCTATTGTTCGAAGCAAAGTAACTCTGCATTGTTCAAAGCAAGCAAAATAGTTGTGCAGGATACACTTTTCTTTCTTTATTTAGGGGCCAGCCATTGTGTCCGGCTCCCGACTGGTCTTCAGCAGCTTAGCTATTTCTTTTTGTGGGAACTTTGCTTATATTATCGTAATCGCAAGTCGCAACGTGGGGGACATTGTGGAGCTCCATTAGGCTGCACCGGCAATGTCGCATCGATCGGAGACAAAACAGGAGCGGGAAGACGTGAAACGTGCAATCCATGACTTGCACACACTTCAGGCTGCTAAAAAACTTTGATGGTTGAGTGACTAATCACAAAAGAGGAATTAACACATATCTTCATTGACCGCTAAGTTGATGGCAGCAGCACCTTAAATTTACGATGCCCTTCTGGAAAGAGGAACGGAAATTTTAAAGTGACCATTTTTTAGCATCGGGTGCAAGTTTCATCAGTTCATCAGAGCTGGATCCTGATCGGCAGGCCGTAATCCATGGCAACGTACGGACATGTTCGTTTGTCTGAATTTTGGAGGAATCTGGATGGTTTGGAGGAATGCTGGAGAAATTTGTGAGAGAAAAACCGTTCCGGATGAAAAAAATAAGCTGATCAAGCCGGGTTTAAGGGCACGTGAACGGGGCCGTAGCGACTGTACTACCAAACAGTAACATGCCATCTGCTCAGCGCAATATGTGCCTTGGATCCACCCCTCTTCTGCACATCACAATTGAAAACATCTGAGGTCTGTAGTTGACTTCTGGTTGGTGCTTATTGTTGGCGTCAGATCCAGTTTCCGTTTCAGAAATCAGAATAGACATCAACGATCGACCAGAGCTTGACAAAAGTTTAGTTTCCCTGATGGGAGAACTGAGAAGTAGAATAATAGCAGTGTAGAACGCACAATGGCTGCTATGACACAATAGACAATGCATACACATGTTACGCTCTCAGACAGGATTCATGGATTCCAGAGTAGCAATCGTACAGAGTTTAGGCTAGTAGCAGAGAACGGGAATAGAGGAAGGAAAGCAAAGCACAAGGTTGGGATCAGAGGAGTGCTTGCAGGAGAAGCCAAGGTGTTTGTTACAATATTGTTCAATGATCTCTCCTTCCTCACGCCATTACATATTTTATGCTGATGCCATCTACTTGCTCACGCCCTGGTCCATTCCTCCCCTGTGATGCGCTGGTTGGGCAACTTGGGCCTGTTGGACCTTCGCAACTGTGGCCCAGAGTCCTGCGCTCCTTCTTCAGACTCCTATGCCGGACGCGGAACAGTAGACAGTCCGGTCGTAACACTCCCCCTCCCTTGCGCGCCAAGCCGGTCCCAGACGGTGGCGCGGGGAAACTGCTGCCGAAGAAACTCCAAGTCTTCCCAAATAGCTAGAGATCTTGGCAAGTTAGACCACAGAATTAAACCTTGAGCAATAGAGCGCGTACCCTTGATGATGGATCGAGTCTGAAGAATCTTTTCGGGAACACTCCAGAGGACTGTATCAGAAGGCGGATGATTGGTAACAGAATGGCGAGCACCCACCGACTTCTTAAGCTGGGAAACATGGAACACAGGGTGCACCGAAGAGGAAGCCGGAAGCTCAAGCCTATAAGCAACGGATCCCACGCGAGCCAGAATACGATAGGGTCCGAAGAACTTGAATGCAAGCTTCTGATTACTGCGCTGTGCCAAGGATGATTGCACGTATGGCTGGGTCTTGACGAAGACCAGATCACCAATCTGGAACTGACGTTCTGATCGGTGCTCATCAGCTTGCTTCTTCATGCACTGTTTAGCTCGGTTCAGATGCTGGCGAATGACATCGGTCATCAGAGGACGATCAGACAACCAAGTAGCCAAGTCGGTGACGGGTGTGTCTGAAGAAGTGGCAATGCCGTGGTGCATAACCATACAACACTTCAAAAGGAGAACGCCCCAAAGTTGAATGCCAATTGGTGTTATACCAAAACTCGGCCTGATCCAACCATTGTCGCCACTAATGAGGGTAGGCGTGCACGAAGCAACGCAAGAACGTCTCAACACACTGATTGACCCGTTCGATTTGACCATCATATTGCGGATGGTAAGTGGTGCTCATCTGCAACTCAACTCCTGCCAACTGAAACAGCTCACGCCAGAAATGACTTGTAAAGACTTTGTCATGATCCGAGACAATGGCTTGCGGCACACCGTGCAGCTTATACACTTGAGAGAGAAAAGGACTGAGCAACTGACCGAGCAGTAAAAGGATGTTTGAGAGCCAAGAAGTGAGCATACTTGAAAAAGAGATCAACTATCACCAATATGCAGTTAGAACCCCCTGAGGATGGAAGCCCTTCAATAAAATCCATGAATATAACAGACCAGGCACTGTCGGGAACTGGCAATGGTTGCAAGAGGCCGGGCAGCTTGGTACGGTCAGGCTTAGCTTGTTGGTAGATAACGCAAGCAACAACAAAAGATTGAACTGCTGATTTCATGCCGGTTGTCCAGGCAAAGATTTGTTTCAAACGGCGATATGTGACGGTCATGCCTGAGTGTCCACCGACAGCAGTAGAGTGCACCGCCGTAATCAGTCGAGTCTGCAACTCAGGGTCAGCACCCACCCAGATACGAAACTTGTAATGCAGCAACCCATCACGAAGAGTGAAGTTGGGTACTGGCAAGCAATTATTGTGCTCGAAGCATCTTGAGAGTATGAAGCCACCACTACCTCCAGCCACTAGGCCTGACAAACTGACACGGCGCCCAAATGTGCAGGAGGACAACGTGAGAGAGCGTCAGCCGCGCCATTGTCCGAGCCTTTGCGGTACACAATTTGATATTGCAGGCCAATGAGCTTTATAAAGACTTTTTGCTGCCATGGCGTGTGAAGCCTTTGTTCTGTTAACTGCACCAGGCTATGATGATTGGTGATGATCTGAAACTCGGCATGTTGCAGATAACTGCGCCAGTGCTCTAGTGCCAGCAGATCGCCATATACTCTTTCTCGTACGTGGATAACCCTTGCGAGCTGGGTCCTAAGGCTTTGCTCAGAAATGCCAAAGGATGCCCTTGCATAAGCACTGCACCAATTCTGGTACCGCTGGCATCAGTTTCAATAGCGAAAGGACGACTGAAATCTGGCAGGGCCAACACCGGGGCGGTTGTCAGAGCTTGCTTCAGGGCTGAGAAGGCCTTGTCCTGGATATTCGTCCACACATAAACTGCACCTTTGTGAAGAAGATCCGTCAAGGGTTTTGATATGATGCCAAAGTGCTTAACAAAGCATCTGTAGTAGCCCGCTAGGCCCAAGAAGCTGCGTAATGCTTTAACTGACTGTGGAACAGGCCATTGCAAGATAGCATTAATCTTATCAGGGTCGGTGGCCACACCATCCTCCGAGATAACATGCCCCAAATAACGAAGCTGTCTTTGTGCAAAGTGACATTTAGACATCTTAACTTGCCACTGATCTTGCTGAAGTAACTGAATGACCAACCGCAAATGCTCAACATGTTCTTCATACGAACGACTGAAAATGAGAATGTCATTGAAAAAGACTAGCACACACTTGCGCAACAGAGGATGCAATGTAGTGTTCATAGCCTTGAGAAACGTAGTTACTGTACTACCAAACAGTAACATGCCATCTGCTCAGCGCAATATGTGCCTTGGATCCACCCCTCTTCTGCACATCACAATTGAAAACATCTGAGGTCTGTAGTTGACTTCTGGTTGGTGCTTATTGTTGGCGTCAGATAGCCAATTGTCCAGTTTCCGTTTCAGAAATCAGAATAGACATCAACGATCGACCAGAGCTTGACAATAAGTTTAGTTTCCCTGATGGGAGAACTGAGAAGTAGAATAATAGCAGTGTAGAACGCACAATGGCTGCTATGACACAATAGACAATGCATACACAATAGACACTTCTGCACCCAATTCGATGCAACATGTACAGAATTGCAGTATGAACATGCGTGTCGTGCATCAATTAGCGATCAAATGCAGCAACAAGTCGCTCCAAGCGTCGATGGGGCCTGGCAAGCACCAGTGCACGCAGTCGATGCCGAAGCCGACCTTCTCGTGCGGCCAGTGCCCGTACTGCCCGGGGTGCCCGTCGCCCCTCATCTGCATCATCTCGCTGACGTCCAGCAGCGCGAACCGTCCTGGCGCCGCCGCGCTCGCCGCGGCGTGGAACTCCTCCACCTGCGCGGCGTGGAACGCGGCCTGCGTCTCCGGGAGGCCCGTCTCGCCGCTCCGCGTGGGCCGAGTCCGGAGGCAGTTCCCGCCGTCGTACCACTTGCCGTTCTCGTAGTGCGGCGGTGCCACGGTCCGGACGACCACCTTGCCGCGGAACCCCGGGACCTCTTCCCGCAGCGCGCGGAGCGCGGTCCGGAACGACGCGCGCACGGCGCGGTGCGGCGGCACGTACGTGGCGTTGGGGTCGCCACAGTCGCTGCAGCCCAGGACGCGGCCGCGCTCGTGGAGCACCACGGGGCGGGTGAACCACTTGGCGCCGTTGAGGACGACGTAGTCGTAGCCCGCGACGGCGCGCGCCCACTCCGGGTCGGCCTCGTCGAGGTACACGTTGTGCGGGTCCATGAACTGCTGCGTCCCCGCGCGCGTCAGGTTCCAGCGCACCAGGAACGGCGTCCAGAACACGGTCACCGTGAAGTTGTGCTCGCGGTAGTGGTAGGTGCGCGTGCAGTGGATGCAGTCCTTGGGCTGAATCTCCTGCGGGTACTCCACCTGCATGCGCGCGGAAACCGATCTAAACGTTGCATTGCAATGCCCGGTGATACGTGCGCTAGCTGAACAAAAGTATATGTGTGTACCTTGGAGAGGAGGCACATGAGCGACTGCATGTGGTTTCGTGCGACGGAGTCGCCGACGAAGACCATGGACTTGTGGCGCACGAGGCGGAGGAAGGCGGCCGGGTCGAAGCGGGGCAGGTCGCAGCCGTGCGGCTGCCACCGCCACCGGAGGATGGAATCGAGCCCGGGCTTTGCCGTACTTCATGCAGTCCTGGCGGCTGTCGATGAACGGGCACGTCGCGTTGGTGTAGGAGGGCGCGGCGGGGTCGGGCACCCACTCGCCCTTCGCGACGTCGCACGCCGCGCTCCCCTCGAGGGAGGACGACGATGTCGCCGTCTTCGCGTGAGACGCGGCGTTCGGCGGCACGTCGAGGAGCCGGTCGGTGTTGAGCGAGGAGTAATTGGACGCGGTGAAGACGACGAGCAGCAGGACGAAGAGCAGGCCGGTGGTGGATGCAGCTCTGCGGATGACCTGGCTGCTGCTGCTGCTGCTGTTAGGCTTCATCTTGGAAACTCACGCCGGCTGGAATGAGGAGGAGTTGATGGTTTCATTTTATGTTTTGAGTGCCGATGATCGATCAAGTAGAAGTAGTGTCTCTGCTGTTGTGCCAGCGTCAACGTGCAAGAACGTGTGGGGGCTCGATCGGGCACGAAGCAGTAGCAGTACCGACAACAAGAGGGAGTCAAATCATGTAATTCTACTAACCTGTCGTGGCAGTGAACTACGAGTGGTTGACTCAACTGCAACCAGGCGGCAGCTGAGAGACGTGGCCTCCGACGTCGCAAGCGCGCACTGCATAGGCGAGGAGGCCGGCCAACTCCTCCCAGTCCCTTGTTGTCAAAAAAAAAAAAAAAAAAAAAACTCCTCCCAGCAGCTCTCACGGCATATAGGGCCTTGCTCCATTCGTCCCCCAAAACAGAGCCCCCAAAAATGGGAGTGTTTGCTGACTCTATAAACCACGGAGGGTTTAGGTCGAGTCAAATTTCTTACACTTAATTAAATTTATAGAAAAATAATATCAATATTTATGTCACTGAATAGGTTTAATATGAAAATACAATTCATAACTAAGTGATGATAATTATTTGGTATCATAAATGTTAGTAACTTTTTAAAAAAATGGTTAAACTTTATCTTTTTCCCACCTTTCGGGGTGTGTATGAAAGGTCCTAATGGCTAGAGAGGGGTGAATAGCCTATTAAAAATTTCTACAACAACACTTAACAAACCGGTTAGATAATTATGAGGCGAAACAAGTGTTGTGCTAGCCTACTAAAAATGAAAGCCACCTACCACAATTCTAGTTTATATAGATTCTATCCGCACAATAGCTATGTCACTACACTAAGTTAGTGTGCTCTCAAAGGCTAACTAAAGAGCCGCACTAACCAAACTAACAAGCTCTCATAACTAGCTACACTAAAGAGCATGACAACTAGTTTACGGTAATATAAAGAGAGTGAGCAATTTCTTTATACCGTCGTGCCGAGGAAGAAGCCAATCAATCACAAGAACGAATAACAATGAAGACCAAACACCTCGGAATTAAAGGATGAACACAACAATTTTTTATCGATATTCACTTGCTTGCCGGCAAGCCAGTTCTCGTTGTGGCGATTCACTCACTTGGAGGTTCACGCGCTAATTGGCACCATACGCCAAACCCTCAATATGGTGCTGCACAACCAACACAAGATGAGGATCACACAAGCCACAAGCAATCCACTAGAGTACCTTTTGGCACTCCACCGGGGAAAGGTCAAGAACCCCTCACAATCACCACGATCGGAGCCGGAGACAATCATCAACCTCCGCTCGACGATCCTCGCTGTTTCAAGCCGTCTAGGTGGCGACAACCACCAAGAGTAACAAGCGAATCCCGCAGCGAAACACGAACACCAAGTGCCTCTAGATGCAAACACTCAAGCAATACACTTGGATTCACTTTCAATCTCATAAAGATGATAAATCAATGATGGAGATGAGTGGGAGGGCTTTGACTAAGCACACAAGGTTGCTATGTCAATGCAAATGGCCAAGAGAGTGAGCTTGAGCCGGTCATGGGGCTAAATAGAGAGCCCCCACGAATAGAGCCGTTGGGCTCCTCACTACACTGAACACGGAGCGACCGGACGCGCCCATCGATGTGACCGGACGCAGGACCCCAACGCCCGGTCGCCCGATGCTTGCCACATGTCATCGGTTTCAAACGCTGATCGTCCGATCTCAACGGTCATCAGTACATTTAAGTAGTGACCGGATGCGCTGCTCAAAGTGACCGGACGCAAGACCCCAGCGTCCGGTCGTTTCCAGTAAGGTACCAGAAGCGAAAAATCATGACCGGACGCGTCCGGTCCTGCTCGACCGGACACACCCAGCGTCCGGTCACTCAACGTCATCATACATCATACTGACCGGACTCAGGCCCTGAGCGTCCTGTCAGTTTCCGCACCAGCTTCCGGTCGTGACCGTGTGCTCACTGTAGTCACTGACTGGACACGCCGGTCCTTCCGAGACCAGCGTCCGATCACTTACAGTGACCACGTTCACCTGGGTTTATCTACCGGACACGTCCGTTACGCTTTGTGAAACCCTGTCTTTTCTGTATAGTACGCCAGTGGCACCGTCGGACTATCCACTCCGCCGGTGAAGTTTCTAACCCTTGCTCAAATATGCCAACCACCAAGTGTATCACCTTGTGCATATGTGTGTTAGCATATTTTCACAAACATTTTCAAGGGCGTTAGCACTCCACTAGATCCTAAATGCATATGCAATGAGTTAGAGCATCTAGTGGCACTTTGATAACCGCATTTCGATACAAGTTTCACCCCTCTTAATAGTACGGCTATCGATCCTAAATGTGCTCACACTCACTAAGTGTCTCGATCACCAAAAACAAATAGGCTCCTACCAATTATACCTTTGCCTTGAGCCTTTTGTTTTTCTCTTTCTTCTTTTCAAGTCCAAGCACTTGATCATCACCATGGCATCGTCATCATCATGTCATGATCTTCATTTGCTTCACCACTTGAAATGTGCTACCTATCTCATGATCACTTGATAAACTAGGTAAACACTTAGGGTTTCATCAATTCACCAAAACCAAACTAGAGCTTTTAATCTCTCCTTTTTGGTAATTGATGACAACCCTTACACAAAGATATGAATTGAAATTCAATTGAATCCATGTTGCTTGTCCAAGCATATTTACCATGTGTAAAAGAATATGGACAAGTTTCATAAATCCTAAATGGTAGCAATTGCTCCCCCTACATATGTGCTAAGAGTTTGGATTGTAGCTTGCACATATGCTTAGATAGGAAATATAGGAGACAATGTCTACCAAATGATGCTAAGATATAAGAGATGGACCTTTGAAGCGTGATACCAATCAGAGTGCACCAACATACCATCCTTAGCATCATAGTTAGCTCTATACCACTTTAAAATAAAATCACTAGATAACCTATGCATGCTAATTTTTTATTTCATCATTTAAACCTACAACTAGCATACACCACACAAGCATGGATATTGAAATTTAAAACTTGTGCCATGCAAGCAAACATATGAAATGCACATTCAAATGCACCATATAAGTTCATGAGTTTGCTCCCCCTACTTGTGTGATCAAAATTTTAATTGATCACTTTCCTTTGTCATATTTCTCCCCCTATGTCAAATTCTTCTTCTTTGTTGTTTTTTCACTATCTAATATCTTTGTTTTTCTCCCCATAATACTAATATCACTAATATCTTTGTTTTTCTCCCCCTTTGTCATCAATGACCTCAAAGGTTCAAAATATAGATAGGTTGAGAGTATCAATGTCAATCAATGGGGTGAGGATCAGTTTTCTAAATTTGATCCAATCTAGATCATTTGCCAAAGATATTTAACTCGGTTTGATCCAAGAACAAGCTTCTTCACACCTCCAAATAAGGGTTATCTTGTACCATGTTAAGTTAAACACTTAGAGCTCATTTTCTAGATCAAACACTAGGTTTACAAGCCCACAAACATGTCATATGCTACCACTAGATCAAAATAAGCGTAGAAGCAATAGTGATATCATATAATCATCAAATTCATTTGATTTTCATGAATGAACCTATTAAATATGAAAGATGTCTAGATGCACTAAACATGTCCTTAGCAAGGATGTATGCCATGTCAATCAACTTTTACCTTGGATTGCTCGAAGGAGAGGCATGTCATATGAGTGGGGGGTGCATCAACACATATTTGAGAAATCCAATATGTTCAACTTATTTCTTAGCTTGCAAAACCTTTTCTCATCCAATGGCTTGGTGAATATATCGGCAAGTTGATCTTCGGTGCCTACACTCTCAATGCAAATGTCTCCTTTTTGTTGGTGATCTCTTATGAAATGGTGGCGGACATCAATGTGCTTTGTTCTTTCATGTTGAACCGGATTATTGGTCAACTTGATTGCACTCTCATTGTCACATAGTAATGGCACTTTCTTGAACTTGATTCCAAAGTCACTCAAAGTGGCCTTCATCCAAAGTACTTGTGCACAACAACTACCGGCGGATATGTATTCGGCTTTGGTGGTTGATAATGCAACACTATTTTACTTCTTTGATGACCATGAAACAAGTGATCTTCCCAACAATTGACATGTGCCCGAAGTGCTCTTCCTTTCAACCTTGCATCCCGCATAATCCGAGTTGGAGTAACCAACTAGCTTAAACTTTGCTCCTTTGGGATACCACAAACCAACATTTTGTGTATGCTTTAAGTATCTCAATATTCTCTTTGTAGCCTTCAAATGACTTTCTCTTGGTGAGGCTTGAAATCTTGCACACATGCATACACTAAACATGACATCCGGTCTTGATGCGGTCACATAGAGTAGGCTTTCAATCATAGACCGATACAATTTTTGATCCACCATATTACCATTTGCATCACTATCCAAGTTACCATTTGTTTCCATTGGTGTACTAATGGCCTTGCTATCACTCATGTCAAACTTTTTGATCATGTACTTGATATACTTGCCTTGACTCACAAATGTACCATTCTTCAATTGCTTGATTTGAAGACCAAGGAAGTAACTTAACTCTCCAATCATGGACATCTCAAACTCATTAGCCATCATCTTTCCAAACTCATCACAAAAGTCTTGATTGGTTGATCCAAATATGATGTCATCAACATAGATTTGCAACATAAATAAATCTTTTTCAATCTTCTTGATGAAAAGAGTGGTGTCAACCTTGCCCATCATGAACCCTTTAGAGAGTAGGAAGTCCCTCAATCTCTCATACCATGCTCTAGGTGCTTGCTTCAAGCCATATAATGTCTTCTTCAACTTGTACACATGGTCGGGCTTCTTATCATCTTCAAAATCAGGAGGTTGCTCAACATATATTTCTTCAATGATGTAACCATTGAGAAATGCACTCTTAACATCCATTTGATAGAGCTTGATGTTGTGGGCACAAGCATAGGCTAGCAAGATTCTAATTGCTTC